AATATAATTAGTAGCCCAGTTTTGATTCAGTAATGGGAAGTACTGATGTCAGCCTCAGAGCTGGCTCAAGGTCTTGAGCTCTTAAATTTTTTTTTTCTACAAAATACACATATAATTCACCATTTTAATAATTTTAAGTGAACAATTCTGTGGCATAAAGTATATTTACAATGTTGTGTAATAATCACCACTATTTCTAGAACTCCAGTAGCTTGTTTTTTCTTCATCCTAGTAACATATTCTATTTTCATCTTCATGAATTTTTGCTCTATTGGTATTTCATATAAGCATTATTATCTTTTTTTTTTTTGTCAGTCATGGGGCTTGAACTCTGGGTATGGGCTCTGTCCCTCATTTCTTCAGCTCAAGGCTAGTGCTCTACCAGTTCAGCCACAGCGCCACAGTGGTTTATTGGAGATAAGAGTCTCTTGTACTTTCTTGCCCGGGCTGGCTTTGAACCATGATCCTCAGATCTCAGCCTCCTGAATAGCTAGGATTACAGGCGTGAGCCACCATGCCTGGCTAGCATTATTCTTTTTCCAATTTGTATGATGTTTCTCATTTAGACTTTTTTTTAAAGTTCATCTGTCTTTTATTTTGTATCCAAACAGCATTCCATTTTATGTTTGAATAATATTCTACTATATATGTGTGTCTCTCTCTGTCTCTGTCTCTCTATCTATCTATATTATCTATGCTTATTTTGGTGATAGACAGTTGAATCATTTTTACCTTTTAGCTCTGGGAATAATTCTTCAATGAACTTTGGCTTATAAGTTGCTGCTTTCATTTCCTTTGAACATATATTTAAAAGAACAAATGCTGGGTCATTTGGAAATTCCATACTTATGTTTTTTGAGGTACAACTGGACTATTTTCCTGTGTAAATGCCACCAGCATTGTTTACATATTCACTAGTACTCATTTTGTGCTCTATTTTGCTCTATTGTGCTCTATTGTGATATCGCCTTGTGGGGTTTCTTCCTACTCCTTTGTACCTAGGACTTGAACTCACACCACACTTGGCTTGGCTTTTCTACTCATGACTGAGACTCTTAACACTTGAGCCATGCCTCCAGTCTGTTTTTTGTTCTGATTTATTAGCAATAAAGTCTCTTGAACTTTTCTCCCTGTGTTGACTTTGAACAAAGATTCTCAGATCTTGGCCTCCTAGGTAAGATTGCATGCGTGATTGACTAGTGTCTAACTTTCAACATGATTTTAATTTGAACACATTTCTTATGCTTGCTGGCTATATATATTATCTTTAGAAAAATGTTTTCTCTATCCTTTGTCTATTTTTGTTTTTTTTTTGTCATTTAGTGAGGTGTAGAAGTTCTTTGTACATTGTATTTATTAACCTTTATAGATATATTGTGTACACTATATACTGTCCTATACATTGTGCAGGTTGCCTGTTTTTATCATCTTAATAATATCCTGTGATTCTCAAAAGATTCTAATTTTATTGAAGTCTATTTTATCTATTTGTTTCTTTTGTTGTTTATCCGATCTGAGAAATCATTGAAAATCCAGTGTTATTGAGCCTTTTTGCACTATTTTCTTCCTAAGAATATTATAGTTTTACATGTAGATTTCCGATCTATTTTGATTTGTTTTTATATGCAGTATAAAGTAAGCATACAACTTTACTCTTTTGCATGTTGATATCTAATTATCTCTAACCATTTGTTAAAAAGATTGTCTTTTCTCATTGAGTGGTTTTGGCAATATGTATTAAATAATTTGATCATTTATGCAAAGGTTTATATCTAGGATCTTCATTCTGATAGTCTATAGGTCTGTTATCAGTGCAGTTCCACAATGTTTTGGTTACTGTAATTTTGTATTACCTTTTGAAGTGGAATATGATCTCTTCTTTTAAAAATATCTGGTTATTTAGTATTCCTTAACATTTTCCATGCATATTAGGATGAATTTTTCTATTTTTGCAAAAATAAAAACAACTTGGGAATTACATTAAATTTAGTTTTAAAGGCCTGGCAATAATTCTCTGAGGCTTGATGCTGTGGTGCATGGACTCTTGGAATGCCCTTACTCTCTTGGCCTATGGTACCACTCCGTGTGATTTACCACTACCTCTTGAGTCATTTTTCCCCCTTTCTTGAAGAGTAGCACATGTTTGTAGTATATTATCTCTATCAGACCATTTACTGCTTATAGAATTTGGGGAGTTTATCTTTCATTTCACCCAGTATGTGTGTCTCTTTTAGTCTAAGATAGTAGTCTCTCTCTCTCTGTCTGTCTCTGTCTCTCTTTCTCTTTCTCTTTGTGTATGTGTGTGTAGGTATTCCCTTTCCCCATGTCTTGTTTTTTTTGTTTTTGTTTTTTGGTATATGATCCTGAGAATAGAAATTGAGATGTAGATGACAAATTATTTAGACAGTAATAAAGGATTTTGAATTTGATCTTTGTGACTTATTGAAGCATCTTCAAGAACAATTGATCTATTGTTTTAAAAGGTATTTTCTAAGTACTGGTAGAGTATGTTACTTTATTTTAGGATGACTGAATTTAATAATCTAGCCAGAGTTTTAGATTTCACAGGTGTATAAAGAATAAAGAGTTTTGTTTTTTGTTTTTTGCCAGTAGTGTTTCTTTTGGTACAATATTCTCAAAAGCCTTGTGGTTTTTTCCTCTCAAGGGGATCTGTGCCCTTAGATTATAGAGTTCTATATGTATCCTTCCTGGATATCCTCATTCTTGTCATCTTCTGCATTGGTTGAATGAACCTATTAGTCACATTCCTCATCTCTTCAAAAAAGATTTTCCTGCCATATCCTTGACTACTTCCCCAGAGTATATTTTATCTTTTATAATCTAGACAGACTGAGATTTTTTTTAATCCATGAGGTTCTTGCTGGTTACTTTTTCCCAAACACTTGTTTGGAAACCTCCTCAGTTAAGTATTCAAGTTCATTATTTACAAATTTTTCCACACAACAGTAAAACACATTTTAGCTAAACTTACTGCCACTTTTAAATAAAGATTGTGTTTTCTTTGTAGACTGATACTATATCCATGTTTCATGCTTGAGATATCTTTAGAACCACTTTAAAATTTGTATTTCTGCAAACATTCTATTTTGACAATAGATATATTGAAATTTAATGAACAGTATAAAAATGGTATTGTTTTCTTCTAGCAAAATAGCACAATAAAAGTTTTTCCTGGGGCTGGGGGTTTAGCCCAGTGGAAGGGCGCCTGCCTGGCGTGCGCAAGGCCCTGGGTTCGGTCTTTAGCCTGGAAAAAAACAAAGTTTTTCCTACCTTTTCATTTCTTTCAAGATCATCAGAATTATCTGAGTATCTGAATTTGTATCAACAGTATCTTTAAGACAATCTAGGACTTTTCTGTTTAAAGTGTTGGTTACTATAAATTTGATTTCTTGAAGTTCTCTAGAGCCACCATGATGAATTAGTATGATTGTGGTGGCTTAACACAACAGAAATTCACTTTCTAAAAATATTGAGGTTATAAAGCCTGAATTCAAGATCAGAAGTGCAATGTTCATTTGTAGATTCTAGCCTAGAATCCTTTTTTTTTTTTCCACTTGTGGCATCTGATAGCTGTTATTACTCTGGATTGTGATAGTGTAACTTCTCGTTTTCAATCTCCTCCATTTTCACTTCTTTGTATCTCTGTGTGTTCTTCTTTTTTATGAGGACATTGTTATTGGTCTTAAGATCTCCCAGTCTACTATGCTTTATATTAGTCCCTACCTTAATTATATTGCACATGCTATTTTAATAACAATTATGTTCTATGGTTCCAAGCATACATTATATTGTATGGGAGCAGAACACTATTCAACCATCTACAGCCTCTTTTTAAGTAGTTCTATTATAAATTTATAATATAAACATGTTGTTTAATCTCTTAACAAACTTCAAAGATTTTTAATAGTTAAGAGATTGTCTGACAACATACGAAAACTCATTATTTTAAATAAAGCGTTTTGTCTTTAGTCATAAAAGTGTAAGATGGCTTTACATTCAAGTCAGTGTAAAATATGAGATATTATTTATCTTTAATCTTTATCATTATCTTTATCTTATAATATCTGATTAATCAGTCTTTTATACCACTTTTAAACTACTATGTTCATTCTAAAGTTAACCTCATATATTCATGCTGACCTGTAGAAGTGAATATTGACATGTTCTCTATTACTTGAAATAGAAGATATTTGATGGGTTTTAACTGCATGTGGTAGCAGTCACTCTAATTCCAGCACTGGAGAAGCTGAAACAGGAGGATCATAAGTCCAAGGCTAGTAAGCTACTGAACTAGATCTTGTCTCCAAAAATCTTACTTAAAAAAATACCGTATTGTCAAGAGCTGGTAGGTCATATGTGTAATCTTAGCTACTCAGGAGGCTGAGATTTGAGGATTACGGTTTAAAGCCAGCCCAGGCAGGAAAGTCTGTGAGACTCTTATCTCCATTTAACCACCAAGCCAGAAGTGAAGGTTGTGGCTCAAAGTGGTAGAGCACTAGCCTTGAATAAAAAGAGCTCAGGGACAGTGCCCAGGCCCTAAGTTCAAGCTCCACAACTGAGAAAAAGAAGGAAAAAAAAAAAGATAAAAAATACAGAATCAGGGCTGGGAAGGTGGCTCAGTGGTAAAGCGCTCGTCTCACATGCATGAGGCCCTAGGTTCGATTCCTCAGTACCACATAAGCAAAAAGAAAGAAGCCGGAAGTGGCGCTGTGGCTCAAGTGGTAGAGCGCTAGCCTTGAGCTGAAGAGCTGAGGAACAGCGCCCAGGCCCAGAGTTCAGGCCCCATGACTGGACCCCAAAAAAAAAAAAAAAAAAAAATTACAGAGTCATTGAATATCCAAATTTGTCTCCTTGACCTACTAACAGTAAGATGCTACTTAATAGTTAAGTGGGAAATCTTTAATCATACTTTCTATTAATTCAGATCAACATTGATCAGAGATGTCTTTACATAATGTAATTTTGGTTTCCTGTTTTAGATATCCTAAAACTATGGATCATCTGCATTTGCTCTGAGACATGCTTTAGATTGTTTTTCTGGAAACCCTGTGACTACTCTAAAAGTTGAATGTATTTTAGAACATACCTATGGTAAGTGAGCTTTTATCCTCCTTTTTCTTCCATCAATTTCATGTTCAAATGACTGTGTTAATGCTGCTCCCTGCTGGACACAATATAATTTTGTAAAATTGGCACTTAATAGATGAGCTAAGTACTACTTAGATGTACCAGTTGAAGAGGGAAATCCTTGGCTACAAGCACACATGCACATACACACAAAGACAGTATGCAATAAAAGCAACTGTATTTTTATATCAGTGCCCTACTGTTGCCAGCATGTTGATAATTTAGAACTTTGTGAGTGTGAAGATAATCTTTTTTGCCAAATTTCATTATCTCTTTCCAGTTCATTGGAATCTAATAGTAATAATAGCAACCATACAATGAAGGATACTATAAGTAGTAAGACTTTTAGGATTTCCTAAATTGAATTCTTTTTGTAATATACATTGCAATGATAATGTGTCTTGTAATAATTTCCATTTCCTGCTCTTATTTTTCAAAAGGCAATATTGGAAATGATTACAATCTTGCATCTATTTGTACTGGGCAACCTGTGTTGCAATATATATATATATATATATTACATATTATATATGTTATATTGTGTATTTCAGTGTAATTTTTGTTTTTTAGCTGTATTGGTAACTCAGAAATCATGTTATCTAATATACACAGTGCCCTGTACTTAAAAAGAGTGATGTTGAGTTAGACTTCAAATGTGTTATGTGTGACTGACCTGTGAGGGACTCTCATATATACACACAAGTGCTCCCCAAATAGATTACAAAAATGTGCATCATCCTACTTCAAGCTGAGATATTTGATATTTCATTCTTTGGACAGCAGCCTGAGGAAAATTGCTGTCTAGATATAATTTCCTTTTTTTTTGTTTTGCTGGTCATGAGGCCTTCTGGGCCTGGGCGCTGTCCCTCAGCTCTTCAGCTCAAGGCTAGCGTTCTACCACTTCAGCCTCAGCACCACTTCTGGCTTTTTCTGCTTATGTGGTGCTGCAAAATCGAACCCAGGGTCTCATGCATGCAAGGCAAGCACTCTACCTCTGAGCCACCTTCCCAGCCCCTAGATTAATTTTTTTTTTTTAAAGTAAGATTACATTTTTCTGAAAAAAAGAAAAAGTATCAAACAGTATATCAGTGTCAAACAGAAACAAGATCAATATCAAAGATAGCAACCATATCAAGATCAATATTAAAAGTATCAAGAGTAACAAAGATCAAGCAGGATAACTGATTTTATATTCTTTAAAGTCACTTATTTGTCATTGCAAAAACCTGTGTAATCTACTTTTAATTAATACTGAGAGGAATTAGGCACAGTAACTTACTTTTTTATTAAAATATTGCAATAAAATTAGAAATATAGACCAAAAAATTATACTAGAGGAATACTTTCAACAAGAAGATATTACTATTATTTAAGAAATTTATCAATTTAAACTTTATATTAAAAAACCAACGTGATACATCATGATATAGAAACATGTATATAACATAGCAAATAATTATATAATAATTATGTATCATATGTCCATGTAACCAAGAATACTATTGATATCCAAGAAACCTTTGATAATAACATCTCTCCCTCTTCCCTGTCTCCTTTCTTTACCTCCCTCTCTCCATCCCTCCTTCTATTTCTCTATCCCTTACTCCTCTCTCTCTCTCTCTCTCTCTCCCTCTGTTTCTCTCCTCCTTTCCTTTCTCCAACTCTCCTCTTCCTCTCCTCTCTTTTGTAATGGATTTTCCCATTTTCCAACCTAGTCTCAAACCCCTGGACTTAAGTCCAACTCAGCTTCCCAGTCCTGAAAATACAGGTGTATACTACCCAATCCAGTTTAGTTCCTTTTATAGATTACCAATATTCTGCCTTTTGCAGTAAATATTTATATAACCTGCATGTGATTTTGTCATTTTTATAAATATTCTTAAGGAATATGTTTATATTTTGCTTTTTTAATCTTTATGAAATTTGATGTATTTTCTTCTTTTGTTCAATATTGTACTTTTTAGGAGTCATCTTCAGTTTCATGACATTGAAATAAACATTCTTTAAAAGTTACCCTGGTTTTATGGGCTAGGTGGCTCAGTGGTAGAGTGCTTGCCTTGCATTCATGAGGCCCTGGGTTCAATTCCTCAGCACCACATAAGCAGGAAAGGCCGGAAGTGGTGCTGTGGTGGTAGAGCACTAGCCTTGAGCTGAAGAGCTGAGGGAGAGTGTCCAGGCCCAGAGTTCAGGCCCCACGACCGACACACACACACACACACACACACACACACACACACACACACACACACACACACACACACACACACACACACACACACACAAAATTATCCTGGTTTTATATCACTTTTTAATCTGTCAGATGACAAGTGATTTATTTTTTGCTTAGAAAATATTACACTTAAAATCACATAATTAGATAATTATAGCAATTTAAGTAACTGAGAAATTTAACAACAAAAAGTGTATGTTGAAAAAGATTTATTTTTTGTAGGTTTTGAGTATATGGTAATGTGACATACTTTGAGATAGTTTAACGTGGACTACATATAAATATAATGTAGTTTTAGGTATGGGACCTAATGAAATAACCATTTCTTTCATTTTATTTGCATACTCATTCTATTTACTAACGATGCCATGCTCCTTTACTCTACTTATGAAGAAACTAAGGAAGGCTAGAGAGATTGATTCACTTAACAAGGATATTTAGCAAGTTAGAGCTAGAAACCAGAACAACCTGTCTCCTTGGCAGTCATAAAATAAACAAAATGAAAGCAGAGTTCTTAAGTGTGTCCAGTCATTTATTTGGATATTTGCCAAGATAGCTTTCAGAAATTATCAAATATTCTTTTGGCTACTAACCAAGGACTGGCTTAGCACAAGCCCCTAAAATGATAATGAACCTCATCACATTGATCTTCCAAAAGGCAACTGTTGTATATGCTCATGTGAAATGAGACACTTTAGCTTCAGTATTTAGTTTATGTATTGGGTATAAAGTGGCATATTCCTCATTTGTTATTTTTCTTTGTAACTGATCCTACTGTTTTGTGTTCCAAATGTTTTATATCACTATTTTTCCACAATATAAAATTTATATTCTGTTTTCTTAAACTAGAATTTTAGTATTTTTTCATAAATGGTTCATTGTTGTCATTGTGATCATGAATTATCGTACAGAATTAAAATACAGTTATTTCCTCACAGTTATGCTGAGTTAGAATGTTTTTCCCTTAGTCCTAGAGAGGTAAACGTATCTTGGGTGCTATTTGTGATTTTTTTCCCCTTGTTTGTTTTGTTTGGTCTTTCCTAGGCAGTTTTTGCCTTTGTTGTCAGTGAGTCCTATTAACTTCTATTTCAAATCAAACAGTTGCTTGACATTATACATTACTTAGAGGAGAGTTTAAGTCCAATTTTATCTTATCTATTAATTAAGGGCATAAGAATGTATAGTAACTTTTTAGAGTTTACCTTGAGGTTTTTAGCTAGTCTGGACAGCAGACTATAGTCCGCAGAGATAGCACAAATGACTATTGCTCATCTATTTATGAGCCTCCACTATGCATTTGAAATTTTGATTGCTAAAGTAGCTATTATGAAAGCACTTAACTAAATGCTGTGATTTAAGTGTGCAATCCTAGCTAACTAGAAGGTAGAGATATGGAGACTGCTGTTCAAGACTAGACCTGGTAAAAAATTCTCCAGCTCCTATCTCAACCAACAACAAGCTGGGATTAGTAGCTTGTATCACCATTCCCAGCTCTAGGGAAAGTGTAAATAGGATGGAGTCCTATGTTTGGACATAAACAAAAAGGCTTTATTTGAACAATACCGAACCAAAAAGGGCTGGGACTTGTGACACAAGTGGTTGAGTGCTTGCTTAACAAGTAGAAGGCCCTGGTTTCAAACCTTCCATAAAAAGAGAAGAAATTGAGAAAGTAAGAAAATGGAAATAAGGAAGGAAAGAAGGAAGGAAGGAAGGAAGGAAAGGAAGGAAGGAAGGAAGGAAAAGAAGGAAGGAAGGAAGGAAAGGAAGGAAGGAAGGAAGGAAGGAAGGAAGGAAGGAAGGAAGGAAGGAAGGAAGGAAGGAAGGAAGGAAGGAAGGAAGGAAGGAAGGGAGAGAGAAAGAACGAACGGAGGGAAAACAGCCCTCAGTTTTCTAGTTTATATTTACATGTCATTTTCTAAATTTCTTATGACATGAATTTTGACCACTTTAAAAAATATTTATGTTTTTGTGTACAACACTATCTTTTATATGCAGAAGAATACTCAGGTTTAAGTGAATAGCTTAGTTTTTTACATACTAAATACACCCCTGAAACTAGTATCCATAAATGTTAAAGAACATTATTGGCATTTAAGATATCTCCATGTTCTTGCTTCTCCTTCCACAAGGATATGTACTACCTTGATTTTTAATAGTGAAAACTAGCTTTACTGTGTGTGTGTGTGTATGTGTTGTATTTGTTATATTTATATATAGCATTAATCTATATTAATAGAGGTTTGAGTAGTTTCCATATAAGGCTTCTACTCTAGTATGTATTTATTGGGTGTGTTCTTTTGTGGTGTGTCTAAGTAAAATGACTTGATCTTGGGCTCAGTGGTAGAGTGCTTGCCTTGCATGCATGAGGCCCTGGGTTCGATTCCTCAGCACCATATAAGCACAAAAATCTGAAATTGGCTCTGTGGCTAAGAGCTCTAGTCTTGAGCTGAAGAGCTGAGGGACAGTGCCCAGGCCCAGAGCTCAAGCCCCACGACTGAAAAAACAAAAATGACTTGATCTCAAATATGTTTGTGTCAGCTTTGATGAATAATGCCAGTTTTCTAAAGTAGTTATGCCAGTTGACAGTTACAGTATGTAAGAACTGTTTTTGCACCACACATTCATTAATGTTTGTTTTTTTCTCCTTGTCTTTTTCACTTTGCATACTCTAGTGGGTATTATATATTAAACCATTATGGCTTTAATTTATAGTTCTCTGATAATTAATGAAGGCGAGCATTTTCTCTTGTGCATTCTGGCTGTTTGGTTGATACACTTGTGACGTGTCTGTGTCCGTATTTTACACATTTTTCTGTTAGGCAGCCTTTTTGTTTGATCTGAAGAAATTCTTTATATATTCAGAATATGAATCTTTAAATATAGATATTATAACAGTTTCTCATATTTGTCTTTTTACTTTTTTATTCATCCTGTGAGGATAGAAGTTTGTTATTTTAAGTTGGTCTAGTTTATCGTTTGCTTTTTGTTTTATCTTGTTAAGAAATGTTTATTCTAAGGCTGTTTTATATTCTAAGTTTTCCTTTCCAAGTATTTTTTTTTGCTAATTATTTGATTATTTATTTAAAGATTGAGTGTCACTATGTAGTCCAGACTGATCTCAAATGCACAATCATCCTATCTCTGCTCTGTATTTTGAATGCTAAGAATACAAGCTTTCGTCACCCTGATAAAATGTTTTACCTTTTGACTATTTTACCTTTTGACTACTCAATCGCAAGAGCTTTTGGAACTCAAGCTATATCTAGAGACAGAGCAAAAGGAGATAGAATTATATCTACCATGAATATGTACTTTCTATTAAGAAAACAATGTATTTATCCATATTTGTCTCATGTGAATCTTTAAGGTATATTATTTTGTGTGTCAGTTTGTCCTTAATGAGAATCTGCTAAATAGTTCTGAGAGGAATTTCTGGTTGGGAAAATAAATGTACTAGTTTTGGGGTTTTTTTCAACACTGTAATATTCATAAGTATTTTTGTCTATGAAACACACAGTTTTTGAAGTTTTCACAGACACAGTCCTAACTATATCACTTGGGAATAGTCCATTCTGATAAATTGTATATTATATAATATACAATTTGTTCATTGAAAGAAAATTAGGTTTTAACTTTTTGTCACCAAAGCAGTATAGCATTGGCTCTCATACTTAAAATTTATTTTATAAGCTTTTTGTAAGTTGTTTTAAGTAGGATTTCTTTTGATTTCCCCTTGTGTGCAGGTAATAAATATTTATGCATTTTAAACAACTTTTTATACTTTTTAAAGCAATTACACTTTTTTCCTAGGAATATTAACTATATGTTCTGGTTATACACTTATTCTATAAAAAACAGGTTTTTAAATACTCAGTGTTTTAGTTTCATCTTTCAATAATGTATATTATTGAGTTTACGTCTAATATATTATAGTTTTATATTGTATTTGTAAGAGAGTAATTGCTTTTTTAAAATTAAATTAAAGAAAGGTGATTATATTTGACTCTCCACTAAGCATTTAGATATTTTTCACTTATCAAGTACATATTTCTACTTTGAAGCATCAAATTAACTATTATTTTATCCCAGCTTTTATTTTAATTCATGCATTTAAAAACTGATATTCAGATAAAAGATAGTTTCAAAATAAATTCACTATATTATTTATGAGTGGAACAACACATTAGCATTGGGTTCACAATAGATCATATCGCTTTTATTCCATCTTACAAGCTTAGCAGCACAAACAGAATAATCAACATATTATTTGGCTGTCATCTGCTGAACAGAAACCAGAGATCACAAGGAGGTTTTCCCTAGCTGTGGTGATGGCCTTTTTGTTCCAAGCCCCCATCTGGGAGGGCCATGGTGTGTTATCATATGGAACGCGGGGTTTTCTGTAATCTGCTTAGCTGCACTGAAGTTTGAATCTTCATTCCATGTTTGTGTAATTTATAATTTTAATGAGACCACGGCTCTTGTGGGCTTTGAAATATATTAAAAGCTCTTTGTGCATATGCTTTTGTTCTTGCTTAATAGGCTCAGTGTATTTAAAACTGATGAATTTTTATTCATGAATTTGGATGTCTGGAGATTAACTTACTGAATATCATTGCACTCATCTACTGATAGTCACAAAGTTTTTTTGTAATTATTATTTTGTTTTTCTCTCTCTCTGTGTGTGTGTGTGTGTGTGTGTGTGTGTGTGTGTGTGTGTGTGTGTGTAAATGTCTGGTACTTGCAAGTCAATGAAGAATGAACATATAATTTTAAAAGAGTAGAAAAAAAGGTGGTATGACTAGGCAGTAATTTATTTAAATTTATCTATCCCATCATGGACACTCAAATTTCACTTGTAATCTTAACATTTTAGAAAAGGATTATAAAAGGATAATTATGAAAAAGCTACTTTTATATAACCTTATTTTTTTTAATTAAAATTATATCTGAATGTGTAACAAGTATGAATGTATTTTAGTTGTATCAGTTATCAGGATTCATTCTAGATGATTTCTTGAATTAAATTAAGTACATGTAACATTATTTTTAATTAGTTTTTAGTTTTATTTGTGTAAAGCCATTTTTATTAAAGACCGTTAGAAAAGCTTATTGATGGATGTGGTGAAAAGACCTATGGAAAAGCAGCTTACTAATAATTTATAAAATTATTCCTTATTTTAATATTCCAAAATATTCTAACTGCTAAAAAACCTCTATAGTTAATACTTCAATACACCTAAAATTTTTAAATGTAAGCAATTTACATAGCACCATAGGAAAGAAATATGGCCCTTTTTAAACCCAGACATGTTTATTGAAGTTGCTGTATCTGTAGCACTCAGGTGTAACACACCGATATTGTCCAGGAGGACAATAAAAATTTAAACTTAAATTTACTGGATTGGAGCTTTTTTTTTTTTTTTAATCACTGTAGTACATCATTCTTTTTTGGTATGTGATAGTAATTTGGAAGTTCTTCTATTCTCATTGTACTATTCTTAAGCTGAACTATTTTTAAAAAGTCAAAATTGTCAGAATCTTCTAATGTCTTTACTATCAGATTTACTACAGGACTGCTTATTCTTCATAGCCCTTGTCTTTGGTATTTGTATTATTTAGCTTACAATTTCATTTACCTTACAAACATACTATTTCGACTCTATAGCAGCACTGCACAATGGAAATGTAATGTGAATTACTTTTTTTAAACCAGTTATAGCTCAAATGTTATCTTTTCAACATGCATCATATGAAATTATTACTAAAATATTCAACTCTCATTCTTTATATTATCTTCACAAGTCTAGTGTGTATTTTATGCTCACAGTGAATCTCCGTTTGAACTAGTCATATTTCAATTAGTCAGAACCTAACAGTGGTTTTAATGTGTACTTTCCCAGACTTGTAAACTCCATAAAGTCTTAAGCAACCATAACAAGATCTGTGACTGAAACATGTATTGTCTTGCATTTCTCATTTTTTTAAAATCATATTGTACTCCTAGTAACCAAAGAAAACTCACATGCTATGTAAGTGAACTTGCTTAGTGCATTTTTATAGCTCCGACACTACTGATACCATTGGTTTTTGACTCTCTCTCTCTCTCTCTCTCTCTCTCTCTCTCTCTCTATATATATATATATATATATATATATATTACACAAAATAAAGATTATTTCATCTGACTTCCAAGTACCTATCAGACACTGCAGATATGCTTGAAGTTAGTGGGTTGATGATTAGATAGTGGCTGGTATAATAGATGTAGATTTTTTTTTCAGAAATTTGAGCAAATAAAACTTGTCAAATATGCCTCATTTTTAGTACACTGAGGAGTTTAGTTTTACAAGAACCTTATAGCAAGTCTTGGTATGTTTTTTAAAAACTAAAGCTGAGAATTCTTAAAGTCATTAGAATTTTTGAACAGGTATTTGTGCAAATGTATATGAAACTTTTTTGTTTAACTTTGCTAATAGCTAGTATTACTCTAGGTGAAGAAAATTATAAAAGGAACAAAAATAATTAAATATATCTAGAATTTATTAATTTAAATACTCTATATACTTTGTTACTTCACTGAAATATTAAAAAAAAGGCATGATAAAATCTTGAATTAGAACTGTGAGTTTTGAAGTATGGTTATAAAATAATTAAATTTATATTAAGTACTGCAGGTATTCCCTTCCCTCCTTTTATTTTTTTCTAAAAGAATAACCCACAGAACTTTTCATGTGTAAATGACCTTTGCTGGAATATGATTTAGAGAAAACTGCATACCCAAGTGATCTGAGATTTTTATGCTGTCTAAATTTTTAGAGATGATCTAATTTTCATGCCATCTACCTTTTCATGTAGGTATTAGTGCTTGTTGTAATCTTTGACTCAGTTAATTTTTATTGACTGGCCCTTTTGACTTCTTCATTTAAAATGTTGTCACCAATTGTTAAATTCCTCTTTAAACAATACCTAGAGTTTCTTAGAGATGATAAATCCATCCATTGATTTCCTAATTTTATTATGTACACAGTCAATTGTAATCCAAGATTACAGCAAACAAGATGTTAATTTCTAGACATAATCTATGTACATTTCAATTACAGAGCATGATTGTTACAGAAGCACAGAATAAAAAGGAATAACATTTGTGCTATCCTCACAGGAGCTGTCAATAAAACATGTAATAGGGGATTTAGGAATCTGGAAATGGCCAACTAATTTATGTGAATCTATTTTATTTCAGCTAGAAAGACCAAGCTTTTTTTCGTCTGCGCTGCATATTGCACAGCACAGGCTGTCTATACAAAACCAGGCGGCTGCATATGGATAGTCCCTTGATATCATTCACTTGCTGTGTAATCTTATTATGCAAAGTTCTAATCTTCACCTAGAATGAATGCCTCTGGGTCAGAATATAGTCATATCAGGGTTTTTGAGGTCATGTTTTGTGATCCTTAGCTTATTCTTCTAAGTAGGGCTGGGATTTAAAGGGTATTCCCTAGACACTAGCGGAGATAGACAGCAGAACCTGCTGCCTTTTTGGAAGACAAGACCAACATGAGGTCCCTGGTAGGATTAAACTTGATTTGTAGCTGTAGGATTTTTTAACAGATGTATTATTGGACAGGGAATAGGGGGCCACCAGCAAAGCAAAATTGAATCATGACTGGCATTCTCGGGGAGTTTGCTGCCTGCTAAAACAGCAGCTGCATGTGGATTTGACTTCTTTCAGGTGAAGCGACTTCCAGTCATTTGGAAAGGATGGGATGAAAAAGAACCTCGGTGATAATTTTGATGTCTGCAAGATTTAGTACCAGTGTAATGGGATTATCGGTAACACCTTCACTGCAGAAAAAGCCACCTGGCGCTGTAACTGGCAGCAACTGAGAACTAATCCTTTCCCATCTCTTGGATGTCATTCATGAAGCTCAAAGCGATTTCTGCCCTGCTAACTGTGATTAATTTTATAAACAACAACAAAAAAATCAGGTGATCAAGGCAAAGAATATACTAATTATTATCTATAATATGTAACCTTATTCTAAGCTACGTAGCTTATGAATTATGAGACATGTGCAAACTAAACTATTTTTCAATTGTTATTAGATTGTTCAAATAGAAAAGGTGACAGATAAAGTGTTTGCTATTGATAAAGGTGCAGTTTGATTTTACATATAAATATAAATACTATTATGTTCTCTTAGATACAAGACAATTGAAGTGTTCAAAATTTCTGTAAGTATAGGAAACTGAAATTATTTGTTTGTCATATATTTTACCTACTTTTGGTTTCTTCAGTTGCTTCTGCTGAACCCTTTTTGCTTCATAAAACACTTAGCAACATAAAAATCTATTGACAGAATATTTTGATAATTAAGGCAATGTTAGCTTGAACTGCTGATAAAAGGGCTCTTTGTGAAAAGATATGATCTTTACATCAAATCTAACGATAGTAATTCCTAATACTTCATGATTTATTTGTAAAAACCAGTGATCCTCAATCAAGTTTTTTTTCCAGAACACGTTAGTTTAAAAAAAATGTTATTTTCTTTAGAATAACTGCATTAGTTATTTTAGCATTTTGTTTCATCCTAAAACTTTATCAAGTACTTTGTTTAGAGGTGTTAATTATTTTAATATTCTTCTCTTACACGATCCAGAATAAACGAGAGAAAATGAAGTGAAATTATCCCATCAGTCACCCAAACAGTATGCAACATAACTGCCAAGGCTAGAAAAGATAATTAGTGTTGTCAGTGTTATGATCCTAGAGTACTTAATTTAAAAATATTCATAGAACTTGATTTTATATTATGGTGCTTTTAGATTTAGTAATCATGTATTAAAATACATTGTAAAGCCTCAGTCTGAATGTTTTAAAACTTTAAAACTTTTAACTGAATGTAGTTCACTAAAATATTTTTATAAAATTGTAGGAATAAAATGTAATCATCTGGATTTACATGATATACTAATGTACCCTTGGTATCTGTTTACATATAGGACCCTGTATTCACTATATAAAGCCTTCATTAAAAAATCAAGCAAGCAGAATATAATAAATTATAGTAGAGCTATTTTTTTATTCCCATCAGATCTTTCTAATAGACTTGTTATTCTTAAGGGTTTGGTTTAACTAGTTCTAAGCTATTGTAGTACAAAATGTATTTTCTTCATTTTTGCTACATTTTAAATGAATCAGCTTAACAATATTTCTACTAGATATTGTTGAATTAATTTATAAAGGGTTTATTTAGCCTTTCATATTTTTACTATTTAAAAAGTAAATAAAATATCTGATCATTACTGAATGTTGTATTTTTTCAAGATGAAATAAATGGATGGAAATCTTTTTTTTAGCCTCATGATTGTAACTATTTGTATTTCAAGTCTAAAATATTTGTTACTGCATAATTTCAATTTTTCCTAGCCAGATAGTTTATTGTTGTGGGATAACTTTCTAGAGTAATTAGTGATGGCATATAATTGTTTATCAAGCACCTTTCCTTTCAAAGCAAAATTTGTCCAGAAGCTTTTATTAAACATCCTCAGTGTTTATACTTTTTATTTATCTATTAAAAGTGGCTTCTGAGAGTCAGTGTTTTCCTTCATGTTAGGTATCATTCTTAATTTTTGTAAAATGCATTGTTATTTCTTTTAGCAACTCCCAAATAAACCCTTTAATTAAATTCAAAATAAATATGTAAGATCTTCTCAATGATGTATATACTTTTCCTATAGATGTAGGTTCTTTGAATTGAATGTTTTGTGGCTAACGTGGAAGAAATTTGACTCATCTTACAATGGTAGAGACTAATTTTCAGAACAAATGATTACAATGATGCCAAAAAGAGTTGAGGTATTTCTGGAAATGAATTGGAATATAAGAGAAATTAGATTTTTTAAAAAGATAGAATCTCAGTGCAACAATATAGCAAAGTAAAAGCCAGAAATTTTTGAGTATTTAAGAGATGATAAACTTGTGGGTTTTTTCCCTAATTTTTATTGTAAAGGTGATGTAAAGGGAAGGGGTTACGGTTACGTAAGTTGGGTAATGAGTGCATTTCTTTTTGAACAGTATCACCACTCCCTCTTTTTCTCTGTTTTTTCCTCCTTACATCCCTTCTCTCAAATTGTATAGTTCATTTTCAGCATAGTGTCTAGTGAGTATCATTGCTGAATTAGTTCACCCTTTGTCAACTTGTGGGGTTTAGTTTTGTTTTATTTTTGGGGGTTTATAGACTTAGTATCTCTCTGAAGTGCTTGCATGACTTCAGATTGGCAACAGTGACAACTAGTCTATGATGATGCTAAATGATATTTCTTTTATTTGAAATAATATCCTTCTCTCTTGCCCATCTGACTGTTACATTGTGTGTACTAAATGGATTTTACAGGAATTAGGAGATTATTCGTAGATAAATGGTATTAATTTTGTTTTTTTTTTTTGTTTCAAAGCTGGTATTTGCTTGTAATTAAAGGTTCAACTGCTTATGCTTTATAGAGTATTGATTTTTAGATATGTAAAAGTAAACTTTAGAAAACAAAACTGTATTAATCTAATACATTGAAATATTAGCATTATGAAATCAAATTGAAGAATTCATAGAATTGTTACAAGGGTGATATTTAGTTTAGAATAATGAATACTTATCTTTTTAAACTTTTGAAAACGTTGAGAATGATTCTATGATCTCAAAATTTAGCACAAAGAACTTTCTAGGGGTTCCTCCTGAGAATTTATTAAAACTGTGACTACTCACACAGATTCTCATTCATGAGCTCTGTGATGGGAATATGACAGTCAAGATTTTGAATTTTGGTTGATATTCAGTTAGGTTATTTCAATACTAGTTGGGTTTACAGCAGTGAATACTTAGATGTCATTGATTGCCTGTAGGAATGGAATACAGAAGTTTCAAAAAATCTTCAGAGATTATGAGGATCAGAGTGCCCTTAATTTTCAGTTCTGCAAAATAAAAAATAACCAGTGTGCAAGTATTGCAGTAGATTTAACTAACATTTGTAGATTGGAACAATTCACAAGCAGCCCTGAAGTTGATTTTGAAGTGGCTGAAATTTGAATTACTCTGATGGAGTGTCTGCTATGTGAGAGCCAATTATTTATCTGATGAGTACAGTATATTATTCATTATCTATATCTCAATGAGTCTTTGTTCTCTACTTGTCAAAATAACTTGCACTTAAGGTTTGAAATGGACATACGTTTTTAGTTGCTTCTTCTTTATTTTTATTGTGAAAGTATTTTGACTAAGTATTCTTGAATTTTAAAATCATAAAAATCTCAGTAATATTAAAGTCTACTTTTTCCTTGTCCGAAGAAGGTAGATGTAGCAAAGCTATCAGATTTTTTTGTGTTTTCTTCTTTTCCCCTCTACTGTTTTGTTCTCCTCTCTCTCCCTCCCCTTCTTCCTCTCTCTGTCTTTTGTGGTACTGGTATTTGAATTCAGAGCTTTATACTTTCTAGATAGGGACTCTACCACAAGTTCTTGAACTCTTTTCCTTTATTTCAATTAAAAAATACTATTTGTTTGACTCTGGTGGCTCATGCCTGTAATTCTAGCTACAAAGGAGGCTGAGGTCTGAGACTTAGAGTTCAAAGCCAACCCAGGTAGGAAAAATACTAGTCTTTTGTCTTCAATTAATCACCAAAATGCCAGATGTAGAAGTGTGACTTAAGTAGTAGAGCACCAGCCTTGATCAATAAAGCTAAGAGACAGCTCTTAGGCCCAGAGTTTTAAGTCCAAGTATGTGTAACTGCACACACACACACATGCATGCATGCATGCATACATACATACATATATACACATGTGTGTATATATATGTCATACATGTCAGTTTTTGCTTGTACTTTAAGATTTATACATATGCTGCATGCTGGTGGCTCACACCTGTAATCCTAGCTATTCAGGAGGCTGAGATCTGAGGATGGAGGTTCAAAGCTAGCCCAGGCAGGAAAGTCCATGAGACTCTTAGCTCCAATAAACCACCAGAAAACTGGAATTGGTTCTGTGACTTAAGTGGTAGAGCGCTAGATTTGATCTAAAGAGCTGAGGGACAGCACCCAGGCCCAGAGTTCAAGCCCATGACCAAAATAAATAAGTAAGTAAGTAAATAAATAAGATGTATACAGTCCTATAATTGTGGTCTCAGTCATTTGAATTTTTTTTTCACATTTTTAAGACAAAAGGTCTTTTCTTCTACGAGAATTCCAGACTTGAGCTGGCTATCTATGGCTTAGGCCGGTAATCCTAGGTACTTGAGAGTTGAGAACAGTAAGCTTAAAGTTCAAGGGTAGAAAAGTTCACAAAAACTACTTTTCAAACAGTAGACAGGCATAGTGGCGTACACCTTGCATCCCCAATAACTGGAATTGATAGGATTGTGGTTTCAGGCCAGCTCCAGCAGAAATATCCACAAGATTCCTTCTCAAGGAAGAATGCTGGAGCACACTCCTGCCTGGCAAGTATATGGTACTGAGTTCAAACCCCAGTACTGCTCACCCTCCAAATTCCAGACCTGAATCTTCAGATGGACATTTTCTTCATAGTTTTGAGTAATCTGAAGTCACTCTAATTCTACTTAAATGGTTGGATCTAAACCAGGATCATAGAATTTGGTATGCATGCCCAGAAACTTCCTTTTAAGGTTGGGGAAATCTTTAATATCTTTTTTTTTTTTTTTTAATTGTAAAGCTACTATACAGAGGGTTACAGTTACATGAGTGAGGTTATGAGTACACTTCCTCTTGAACATTGTTACCCCCTCCATTGTTTTCCCCATACCATCCCCTCCCTCCCTCCCTTCCCCGAGGTTCTTTTTTTTTTTTTTTTTTTTTGATTGTGATTAAATGATTACATAATTTCAAAATCACAAGTTCATTCTAACTTCCCTGGAGCAAATTGTCTACCACAGTCTGTAATATATAACAGTGTTCACATGTTATATACCATATTTGTGATCAG